GTATTATACCATAATTTCCTGTACTATACTGTGTATCGATGTTGAGGATTACCTTGTATCTTGCTTCATTATGGTACGAGAGTCTGTGTAACGTTGTATGATATGGAAGTATTCTACACCTTTCAGTATTCTGACATATAATACTGAAAAAATATATAGTTAGCAGGATACTCTATATATATCCAGGGTGGTGTCATGGGAAATTAAATTTATATAACCCAAGTAGAATGCTAACATTTTTAGCGCTCTGGATGTACAGAAGAACAGTAAGTTTTAAGGGTTTTGGCAATACAAGAAGAATATTTAAGGGTCTTTCTCAAGGAGGAGTCTCAAGTCTATTATTATATAATATATATATGGCAGATAACTTTTAACTAACTTTATCTAACAACTCGGGACACAAGTTCTATATCTTTATATTTTTGTATGTCAACATGTATTTGTGGTCCAACGATGGCCTAAGATTTTATTAATAAAAAAAAAAATAATAATAAATTCATGTAACATAGGATTAACGAAACGTACGTTTTTGTTGACAGGAGGATTCGAACCTAACTCCAGAGGAGAAACTGATGGAGGAAGCGACGAACGCCGAAACGGAGCGTCGACTGGACGCTAGGAGGAAGTTCCTGGCCGAGAAGTGCGCGGAGGAGGAGCTAGACAGGCCTGGAAATGATTCCCTGCACAGGCCTAATGCTTGGGAGTTCCTTGTAAATAAAGAGTATCACTTGATATGGTGCAACGTCTTTAAAGCAGCATCTACGTCTTGGATGTACAATTTTAATTTACTCGCTGGGTGAGACTTGAGTTGACCGATGATAAAATTGTCCTTTCTCATTCATTTTTGTATGTAAATGGATCTTTCCCTTTCTTGGCCTTTCAGGTACAGTCCACAGTTCTTGAGGGCCTCCAAAGCTGTACCTGTGTCTCTGGCGAGGCAAAGGTATCCCAGGCACACAGCCGAAGAGCTCTCCAAGTTCCTAAACGATAGTATCAGCTTCCTGATTGTCAGGCATCCATTCGAGAGACTGCTCAGCGCTTACAGAGACAAGCTGGAGCACAGCTTACCGCACACATTTCACAGCAACTTAGGGGCTCACATAGTCTGGCACTACAGGTCCAGGGTACGAGTTTTGAACGTAGTTCTAATTTTGCTTAGTTATTTGACACATTAACTGCCAGATCAATAATCATAAAAATGCCTGCTAGGCTAAAATTTTGTTTCTATACAATTAGAAATGATATAATTTAACATTTGTGGTAAAACTGATTTCTACAACCTCTTTAAAATTCATTAATCCTACCTAGATTTATTTTCTTTAACACTACACCTTCAGAATTAATGTATTTAATTCCTTAGTGAATATCCTTGTCATCCACATATGGTTTAATCGAATATATTTCTTTCTGTTTCCAAACAATGGTCAGGATCCAAAGACAAACGGGCGACACGGTCCAAGGTATCCGCTGTTCGAGGAGTTCGTTCGATGGCTGCTCTGTCAATGGAGAGCTGGCAACGAGTTAGACATGCATTGGACGCCAGTTGTGAATTTCTGTACGCCGTGTCAAGTCCGATTCGACGTGATCGCGAAATTCGAAACGCTTCACGTAAGTATTTCTTGGTAAATATGGTAAATAGTGATAGAAAGTATCTGTACAAAAATAGAACGTGATTTTTGTTTCCTAAAGGAAGATCAAGATTATCTAATAAAGCAAGCGCACGTGGGTCACATTATCAAACCCGAATGGAAAAACCCCACGAGAGGTGTCCAAACGAAGGATGTAATAAAGAATTATTTCGCTCAATTGTCCAAATCGCAAATCAAAGATCTCTACGAGATGTTTAGGTAAGGGTCGACTTTGCGCAAACGTGAAACGATCAAAATACTACAAACGTTTTTGTTCCAGGTACGACTTTGTGCTTTTCGATTACTCTCCCGCTGATTACATTGCGCTTGGGAGAGACGAGGACACTGAACTGATTTGTAAAAAATAATGCCTGTTGTTTCGTACATAGATTGCAAGCGTGTCGACGCTTGACTTCTTTTTCTTCTTTTTACGTGTTGTCGGTTACAACGAAAATATTAGATAAGTAATAACGTTCGTTGGTATAACGAATTAATTCGTAGCGTTATCTACCTGTTGAGATATCGCGAGAAGAGTACTCGACTGCTCGAGTCGGTGATACTTGCGCGAGCACTGCTACTGCATTTAAACTTTTGATAAATAACGAATGTCGCGGTCTATTAAATTGTTAGGATCTATGAGAACCTTGACAAAGATTATTTGTAAATTGTTACAAGACGATGAGAGAACATTTTTAAAGGTCTTGTACGCATAGGAGTATCCCATCGCTTGCGTACTCGAGCTACACACACCAATTAACGATGTATTAAGAATTTATTAATAGGAATTAAGTGCATTGTGATCATCCTTTCTCTAAGCGAATACTTGCATTCCTGTAGATAGAATCTACCTTTCTTCATTTCTGATCGCGTGAGTTATATAAATAGTAGGATGCATTACCCGGGTATCAAGGGTTTTTGGTTAACGCGAAAACCTATGGTTCGTCGGTTGCTATAGTACAATACATTAGTTATAGTCCCATTAGTCGCGAAACATATTTGAGTTTTTCCCGATTCTCTATGTGTATATCTGTGTATATGTATATATACATATGTTGATATAAACGTTGTTATCATAGTTATTATTACCATTGATGGAATGGTAATAGTACTGCCTCAAAAGAATGTAGCATATAATTGTAGCGGTAAGATGTATCAAATTATACGACTTCCAAATGCAAGAACATATAGAAATATATACATTTCAATTTTTCTAATACTTATTTACACTTATTAAAATAATATTTGAGTTGCATAGAATTACATTGTCATGATATCGTGAACTTTATTACAGAAACGTACTTAAGTCTATGACGATACATTTACGAAGAGACAATGTCTCGAAATCGTGGGATTTTATGTAAATAATATGAATAATAATTCATTGTAAAATGGAAAGAACTTAAAGAACAGACACGGTACGGTAGACTTCAATCCTTTATAATTTTATAAATAATAAGTACAAAATGACAATAATTATTTTGGCAAATAAAAAGTGTTTCAAACAAGCAGATTATATGGAAAATTAATTTTATTTAACTATGATTAATTTGTTATAATTGAGCTTGGACAACAAAAAATTACTTTACTTTCGATTCGATATTTTATCAGCTTTTATTACAGAGTAACCTTGAGAAATCAAAATTATGATACGAAATACAACGATAATTATTAATAATGTACTTACTCGGATGAAGTATTTTGTAGTACTATACCGATAACCCACTTGTCGTGAAAAATGTACTTCCAATTACTTTGTACAACTAAAATCTGATCGTGCTTACGAATTCCATGTTTTTTCTTCTTCACCACCGGTTGTCCATCTACATCGTACAACTGTAAAGTAATAACAAACTAATGTCAATATGTATTACAGAATACAAACTAAATGTGTGTATTATAAATATTATAAATCAACGTTTGCTTTGGTACAAATCCATTTAATTGTAATATATTACAATACGATGATATTAAAAATTCTCTAATATATATTATTATCAATATATTCTTAAGGAGTTAATCGAGTATATTTCATTTGACATGTTATTATCGTTACTATCAGAATTGAATGACTCACGTTGCTGTCAGAATCCGAGGACACTTGCTCTCCGAACTGGGCTTGTTGGTGTAAAGCTTTCAAGACGTGTCTCGTTGTATCTTGAATCTCTTTGATATCGTTACTTGTTTTTTCAATTCGACTCTGTACGTCGGATAATTGTTTCATTAAATGCTCCTCTACCGGATTACATTCTGGTTCCAATATCGGTAAAGGTAAATCCTCGTCACTGAGCGCGAACATGTCATCTTCAAACGAATTCATCGTGCATTCAATCGTGAACTCGTTAATCGATGTGAAATCATACTTAGTAACTGGTAATTAGCAACAGTGATAAATTCATCGAGAAATAAAGACGTCAGGAGAAATTCAACCGCCCCATGTTTAGCAATCACGAGATAACCGGAGATAACCAAGCTGTGGGAGAGTCAGGGAACAGAAATGTAAGAGAAAGGAACGTTATTATATATCGTGCTTTTTAAATCATGCTGCCTGTAGATTAATCTCAAGTTATTGATCAATATTTACATGTGAAACAAGTTAAATTTGTAAATAATTGCAATTTATTTATGTCGGTAATTCAGAGTATTCAGTGGCGCCATCCGTGGCGAAACGTTCAAGTTTGTAGTGAAATTAGTTTCTACTGTGTCTGTAAGATGGCGCTGTTAGTCGTCATCGTCGTCGCCGCCTAGTGCTGAAAGGCGGAACTAATTCTCGGAGTTTGGTCAGCGCCTCTATCGGACAAACGCTCAAGTTTGTCCTCGATTAGTTCCTATTTTCGACGCTAGATGGCGCCATTTGTACCGTATTACCCACATACCATAACTCTATTTAAATGGGTACAAACTTGGGCGATTTATGGGTAGATGGCGTCATTTGTACCGTATTTGTAAGGATTCTACATAAAAAAATTAGTATTTAAACAAGAACAATAAAATAAGATTAAGAATTTGAATTCAAGGAGCTGGTTGGAAACACGTTTGAACTGTATGACGGTTGTTAAGGGATTGTTAAAAATAATTGCAACTAACGGAAAAATGAATTACGTGATAAAAGAAAACGTAATTAAAATCCGCTACATTCAAACGCAATAGCCAATTACAAACAAATAAATGCTAGAACATACCTGTGATTTCGTCCTTAAAAACGAAGTTTTCGATTTATAAATAATCCATGATGCGAAGAAAAGAGAGAATACATTTTAAATCGTGCAAGTGTAGCGGTAGAAATGCATTAATATAAAAAATGCATTAAAGAAAGTTTCCATGAAACGCGCGACGATGTTTGAATAGTTTGAGTATCGCAACCAATCACGACGCGTGACGTAATTATCCTTCTCCGCATGCGCGTAGCTGCGCCGCATCGACCACGTGTCATTCTTGTGTTGGCTTCCGTATGGGGTGGACGTATTCAAAGTTCGCTGTCGTTCTGGCGCACGTGTCAGTTAATCAGTGATCGCAGCATTGTAATTGGATTAGTGAAGTACGAAGCAGTGTGAAACTCCACCGGGTGGGTGAATAAATAATAGAAACTGTTAACAATAACGACATTCCTCTTTTATTCGTCTGAATTTACAATTCAACTGTTGCGAGATACAAGTTGTCGACGCGTTGGCGAGGATCTGACCTAAAGATACAATTTTCGCTGGAATACCGCTCGAGATCGAGTCAGTTTCGTCGCCGATACCTAATCTCTGATCTAACGAACAAAGATCGCGAGTACGAACGCTACGAGTAAATGGAGAAAGGCCTGGGTAAAGGACGATAACGGTGATCTACGAACAGTGCTTGTTTCATGTTCAAGAAGTTCCCCTTATCCCGCGGTATGTCCATTTTTAACGATGTTCGGTCTAATGGAAAATTGGCAGTACGAGAATTAATTAACGTACACTGCGGAGCATCTAGACGCAGTGGATCGTTAAAGTATTCGAACGTTTGCAATCAAAAACCGTGATGGACGATATTGAATTACTTACAGTCAATTGTAAGTAAATTACTACATATTTTTGTAAATATATATTATATATATTTATTATATTATACATATACAGTCAGTGTAATAACTATTCGTACAGGAACCATTTATTTTAAATTGGTTGCTGTACAAATACTTCTTACACAGACTGTATTATATATTTATATATATATATTTGTACAAAATTTTACATGGGTCGAATCTACACCTAAAGCACGAATATGCATTTACCTAGTAAGGTGTCCAATATCCTCCGTTAGCAATTATATTTGCCAAAAATTGTCTGGTATCTGGTCACGAAAGTAGTGATTGCAATTGGAGCAATACAGTGTTCAGTGATGAATCTTCGTTTTGGGCTCGGTGTCCTATTAGACATGCTGGGTCTGTCCGTAGAAAAAGAATAATACAGAAAAGTGCGAAACACCCTGTAAAAGTGAATGTTTGGAGTTACTTTATCGCAAGAGGTTTCGGCACTTTATGTATCTTCACTCGCGATCTGAATGCACAAATAATGTTGAAATTATGCGTATTAGTGTTTTAGGTGTAGATTCGACCCATATAAAATTTTGTATAAATATATAAAGATTCACAGAAATATAACAGACACGCTCTTATGAGACAGACTTGAAATAGAACTTGTAAAAGAAAACGTAGTTTTAAAATTATTACAATTTTAGTATGCAATAATAATAATTAAGAATCAAAGTGTATAATATTTAGGCCTCGAGAGTTTAACGTGACAACTAATAAATGGCCTCGGTATACTTAGATATGTCTTGCTAGATCTTAAACGATCGCTAAAAAATTCCAAAATCCATTCCAGTTGTATATTTTCGCGACAGTCGTTCGAATACTTTAACGACATACCGAATATACGAGATAATACATTAACGCTAATCGACCGCGAATCGTTTACTCTCTAATTATTTAGGTTTCGTCATAAAAAAGTGCCTTTAAGCTTAACAATTGTATCGTATCCGCTACTAACTAACCGATACTCCATAATAGCTACTTAACTATCGTAACAAATTTTGATTCGTTATTCGTGCCTCTCGTTCAATGACCATTACGCTAAGTTTCACCTAACTTTATCGACTAGCATCATTTTTTGATATCTCGACGCAAGTGTTACGTTCGTCGACGAGATTTATTCGTGGCTAACCGTGATAAGAACCGAATCGAACGAACTTTACCTACAGGCGCAAAAGATAGTGCAAAGGGTTCATTTGCATCGAGAGTTTCCGTTTGATCAATTAAGGGTGCACAGGAGCCAGAGCCAAACTCCGAGTTGACTTCAGCGACAGTTGCGGAAAAAGTAGGAAACTACGGAACAAGGACAGAGAGAGCGATACAACAATTGCAGGAGAGACGAGGACAGATTTTACAATTTCGGCCTTAAAACTTTATAAGCAATAAAAGTATGTTTGCTATCTTCATTTTATTGTTTATAAAGTTTTAAGGCCGAAATTGCAAAATCAAGCCTTGGAGTCGTATCTCCCAAAGTGTAACGAATATATTAAAACCAGAATTATTAGAAAATATTGCTTCTTTGCTTCAATATCCTGGAAAAAAATCATGCTAGCCTAATCGTCCTGTTCTCGTCTCTCCTGTAATTGTTGTATCGCTCTCTCTGTCTTTATCCCGAAGTTTCCTACTTTTTCCGCAACTGTCGCTGAAGTCAACTCGGAGTTTGGCTCTGGGTCCTGCGCACCCTTAAGATATAAAATTAATGTAAAGTTCGAATCTCCGCAATTTTATGCACTTTGGAAGTGTAACAAAGAAGCGACAAATCATATATTCGATATAAAGTTTAAAGAACACGATCGGAAACCTTTGGGCTACGGGTGTTGAACGAGTTAGTTCTAGTGTCCAATGAATTAATTACACTCTATATTACTTCTAATGATCATCAATTGACTAGGTTCTTTTCGATTTACAGCTACGATCGCTCGCGATTTAGACTAAAATCTACGCGAAAAGAAATTTGGAGTCGTAATGTTTCCAGTACAAGTTCTAATAACACAGAAGTATTGCATCGAGAGTCCAGTATTATTCTAGCTTGATATTGCTAGTGCTGTGAAGTATCTAATTCCGATATACCACTTCTCTATTATTAGAATTATTTTTAGTTGTGATAACTGGCAATGCTTGGTGTCCAAATTTCTTTCCGTGCACATGCTCCTTCAAATCACGCAGCATGTCTGATTCCTAGATACAGGGACACGGAGATCTTAAACTTAGAAACCTCAAGTTTGATAGTTGCTCCAACTTCGAACGACCAACAAGCACGTACGATATGTATCTAAGTTACAGATTACTGAGGAACAAGCTGTGTCAAATGGTTGGTCTACGAAAGTATAAATTACCATTTATCCAGAATGGTCTAAAGAAAATGAAACGGTTGTTTGAAGCACCGACACAACCAATGAAAAGTTTTTGTAAGCTGCTCGTACTTATTGGAACGAGTAACCGAAAGAGGAATTGCCATAGCGTTTTTCTTAGACAAACTTTAGATCTTTAGATCCACCTTATTCCTTTTTCAACGTTTCAAACAGAAGTAACCGTGAACATTCGACATTTTCCATTGAGATAAAAATTTAACAAATTCTTGGAAGCTTAACACTGTCAAAATCATCGTCTTAATTTCTTTTCTCAAAGTAAACAGTTAGAAATCTCGATTGGTACGAAAATGAACAACGATGACTTTGGCAGAATTGAAGCCACCCGTTACTTTAAGCGACACGAAGAATATTTCTGGCTGCGTAGAAAAAGTTTAATATAACATTCGTTGTTTCTCCATCGAGGGTCCTCTTTGGTTTTTCTTAGAAAACATACAAAACTCGTTTAACATTAAGATCGAATACGGTGTACAAGATGCACTTCGAGGTTAACAAACTTTCGGTTTTCCAAATAAAAGAAAAAAAAATTCGATTGAGATTCCGTTTACGATTTCGAGTGACTTCGAATAACCAGAAAGTGCTGAAGACTGGATTTGTTTCTCTCTTTCTTTTTTTCATACATAATTTCTCTGATTTTGGCGTTGACTGACCGAAGCCATATTCCTACTTCAGAATTGAGATTAGCGAAAATGGCGGTGCGGTTTGTTTTTGGCGGGAAAAATGGCTTTGCACCGACTTCGTGCACGGAAATCTGTTTATTTTACTAGGTTGTCTCATAAATTCCCGGACACTTGCTGCAAATAAATCATTTTATAATAACATCGTAATCAAACAATAATTATTCTTCAAAATAAATGCCATCGCTTCTGATAGTTTTCATCCATCATTCTGCCAATTGTTCAATTCCGATTTGGATCAAATGTCGAAAATTCAAGTATCAAGTGTCCGGGAACTTATGGGGAGAATCTAGTAGCTTATGCGACGAGTCAAACACTCGAGAAACGTTCATTCGACTCACACTTACATTTACGCTTTCACGCTTCTTAGGAACAATAGGTAACGGATCCTTGATTGTAGCATACTTTCAATCTTTTAACGGTAGAATCGTAGCCGTGTAAAAATTTAGCAGGTAACACTCTCGTAGATTGCCCGTTTGGGGTTGAATTCAAAACATGAGCTTAGAGCACACGAAAACCCTTGAAATAAACGCGAATATCAGGCTATTACCATAAGACTGTGGATTTTTATACATTCATAGGAAATTTGTATACATGCAGTATGCAATAATATAAAAAAATATTGAACGTAAAGTTCACATTATAATACTTACAAAGTAAAATAAATTCCTATTTAGGTTGAATTGTAGCAGAGACGCTTGCAAACATTTTATTTTGCATAAAGATCCGCAGACTAATAATTACAGTTACAGCCTGCTTACTTAAGACGTGACACAGGGAAAGCAGATTGGTAGTAGTACAATGAAATCTGTCTCGATTCTTCTCAATCTGCAACCACTGTGATTACAGACTATAAATCATACATAATTACTAGACTGCGTATTCTTATGCATTTATAGGAAATCTGAACGTGCAAGAAACTATAGAATAAACATAGTAGCCAATGATACATATAAAATATTGAAAGTAAAGTTGACATTATAATACTTGCAAAGTAAAATAAATTTCTATTCAGGTTCAATTTTAGTAGATACGTTTGCAAACATTTTATTTTGCATAAAGATCCGCAGACTAATAATTAGAGTTATAGCCTGGTACAGTTACTTAAGATGTGACACAGGGAAAGCAGATTGGTAGTAGTACATTGAAATCTGTCTGGATTCTTCTCAATCTGCAACCACTGTGTTTACAGACTATAAATCATACACAATTACTAGACTGCGTATTCTTATGCATTTATAGGAAATCTGAACATGCAAGAAACTATAGAATAAACATAGTAGCCAATGATACATATAAAATATTGAAAGTAAAGTTCATATTATTTTGTATAAAGTTCCGCAGTCTATTAATTACCGAGTAACAGTTGTTATAGGAACGTGCCTAGCAACCTACGCATCATCGATCCTTATTAAAAACACCGTGACGAGGGATTTCACCAATTGACAAGTGACCGTGTCAGTGCTACGAAGAGAGAATAACAGTCAACAAATTCCTATCATAGATTAGCTTGTCCTAAATCGACCACTCTAATTCGTTTGATTCGCTACTTGGAAAAAATAGAAAGAAAAAGTATATTCAGGTAAGTATCACTCGAATTATTCGACATTCTGAGTGAATTACTGTGCTTGAACAGACAACTAACCAAGTTTAAAGACACAAGTTATGATAGAGAGTGGCGAGAACTTTCCAACTTGAAATCTATGTTTCGAGAACTCAGGTAAATGTTACAGGTGTACCCACGATACTTGGGAAACGAAGGGCGGAGGCTCCGGAGGTTGAAAAATTTCCTGCACCACTCGATATTCGAAATTTAAACGAACCGCTCAATTTCGATATATACTCGCGTTTCTATTACGATCATTAGTACGAGTTAATTATTGCAGTTTGGTGTTCCATTGGCGTGGGTGAGCGGATAACAGAAACTTCTCTCGCGTTCTAATCAACGAGACCTATCCTTAACTACTCAATGTGTTCGCTTAGTGTCTACGACTTTTAACAATTTTTAAAAAAATTGATTCTCAATCGCTTAGGTCTACGATATCTCTACAAACGTACTCGAGAATGGTTGCCCCCTGGTTTATCATTGACAACAGAATATCGTCCTGTCGTTTCGTCAACGGGACTATATAAGTATCGATGAACGAAGACACTTCTTTCGAATGGAACTCGCGATACGCACGATTGTCTAAAAACTAAAGCAAATCCCTTCGACTTGTACCATCGAGTGGTTGGTTGCAGGATCAAGAAAAGCATTTTGAAATTATCGGTTTAACGTGCAACTTTATCTCACGATCATCCTTGATTAATCCCATAAGTAAAATCGTATCTTTCGAAGCTCCTCATCGTTCGCGAAACGAATAAAATAGTTTTTACACGGGGCTTTGGCACGGAAGTCAAACAAAGTCGAATGCTCTTTCACGTCGAATTCTTTCCTACTCCTTATCCTCTCGAAACGTATATCAAATATCCTTCTCAGCTCAGAGAACTCGATATCAAAATCTTCCTACAACGAATCCCTCGTTTCGTGGTATTCTTAGAATTGATTTTACTTTCTTTCTAATTTCTCTCGTCTTAAATTCACTTGTTAACGATTCCATACTCTGAGTTGTTGACTCGCAATTGACACATCGTTATCAGGAGTACCTCGCGTCGGGACGTACTCCGATAGGTTCACTTACGTGACGTAAAATACCTCTTCCGCAAGAAGAAACACCTGCAGCTCGTTCGTCGCGACGAACAAATTTAATCGTATTCTTGAACCCGCAAGATTCCGACGATTACCTATGTCGCTTGGCTCTCTCTTTCTCTTCCCGGAAATTGGAGCTCATCCCTGTCAGGAATCACGTTTATCGCATCCTGAAAACAGAGATAATTCTATCATTTCTCCTTTAACCATTTTTATTTAATCCAGATGAAAGTTTGTTTACTCTGCCATAAATCAGACTACTGAGATCACCGCGTACCCTTAACAAAAGAGCGGTGCCTCCGGTTGATTCCACCAGTGCGCCGCTAGAAGCATGTACAACTCCTGATCCTGAACAGTGTAACCTGGAGGTGGTTGAGAAGGCAAAGGCGGTGGAATCGGTGGCAGCAGAGAGTAGGACGGCGGCGGTGGCGAAGGCGACTGGGACTGCGAGAAGGTTGTCGTGGTGGAGAGCGGCGTTGGCGGCGTCGTGGTCACTGCCGGGGGCTCTTCCTTCGCCGGAGATCAAAGCGCGCAATCGAACATTGCCAGGGACCGAGTGATCACGTCATCCTGGAAAACAAATCTCGATAAACGCTATTCTTACAGGAATTACGAGCTCAACAACAGGACCGTGCAACAGGACTGCGGATCTTTATGCAAAATAAAATCATTGGAAACGTACAGTGGGTGTAGAAAGCATTCGTACACCGATCAATTTCCAAAAAAACTGTGTAAAATTGTAATTTATTAACTTATTTTTTATAAACAATGACATTCTACATATTCTCGGAAATGTCTAAAATAGATAGATTACAAAAAAAAATTAGCTATTTATGTAAGTTGCGAAATTAACAAGAAAAAAACAATTAATCGATAGAAATGTTGAAGCAATAAGTATTCGGACAACTGTTTAAAAAGTACTTTACTGGAAATTTGATGTTCCCTAATTCGCACGGAGCAATAAACTAATGTGTTTACGTTACAAAATCTGCTGTAAATGGTTCGTCATAAGAATCGTACAAATACTTATTGCTTCTATACTTTCACCCACTTTTCACATTTTTTTTGTGTTAATTTCACAAATTATATTAACTAGTAAATGTAGTTTGGACTATATCTATCTTAGAGACTTCCGAGAATATGTAAAATATCATTGATTACAAAAAAAGAAGTTAAGAAACTACAATTTCACAGAAAAGTTTTTTGGAAAATTGATCGGTGTACGAATACATTCTACACCCACTGTACCTACAAGAACCGAATCTAAAAAGGATCAGGAACGAACTTTACTTTCAATATTTTTATATACTATCGTATACCGCGTCCATTTTGTAGTTTTGTTGCGCATTCAAATTTAATATCAATGCATAAAAATCTGCAGTACGGAGAAGACGTCGCACCTTCAAGCAGCTTTCTATAAATTCCTCGATCGTTATTACGCCGTCCTGGTTTAGGTCGAGTTTCTTGAACACCCTATCCAACTGTTCCCTCGCTTTTCTCTCCTCTTCGGCGTGATGCCGCCTGCCCATAAGCTCGTGCACAGCCGTCACTACTTCTCCTAGCTCCCCTCTGGTGATGCATCCATCGCCGTTTATGTCGTACAGCTTGAACGTCCATCGTAGCTTCTCGTAGATGCTTCCCCGTAACAGCGTTGACAAAGTCACCAGAAGATCCTGCGAAAGCCATATCTTAAACCACTGTAATTTACTAAAACCATGACTGTACGTCTATATTTCACAGTGGATGCAGATTGAGAAGAATCGAGACAGATTTCAATGTAGTACTACCAATCTGCTTTCCCTGTGTCACATCTTAAGTAACTGTACCAGGCTATAACTCTAATTATTAGTCTGCGGATCTTTATGCAAAATAAAATGTTTACTAAAATTGAACCTGAATAGGGATTTATTTTACTTTGCAAGTATTATAATGTCAACTTTACTTTCAATATTTTATATGTATCATTGGCTACTATGTTTATTCTATAGTTTCTTGCACGTTCAGATTTCCTATAAATGCATAAGAATCTGCAGTCTAGTAATTATGTATGATTTATAGTCTGTAGATACAGTGGATACAGATTGAGAAGAATCAAGACAGATTTCAATGTACTACTACCAATCTGCTTTCCCTGTATCACGTCTTAAGTAACTGTAGGAAGCTATAACTGTAATTATGTATGATTTATAGTCTGTAGACACAGTGGATGCAGATTGAGAAGAATCAAGACAGATTTCAGCGTACTACAACCAATCTGGTTTCGGTGTAGAGCTGAGGACTCACCCTGAAGCTGATGGCGCCGTTGCAGTTGACATCAAAGGCCTTGAACACGTAGTGGGCATAGAGGCTAGAGTCTGGAATTCGTAGGAGGAGACGCCGTTAACTATTTAGGCTAAAACGGGGTCGCTTATTTAATTGGAACTCACTGCCATGGGGGAAGAATTTCGCGTAGATGTCCTTAAATGAGTCCTCGTGCACCACACCCTCCGGACACTCCTGAAAACAATCGCAAAGGGGAACGTTATCTTGGCTCTTGCGAGATTCGTTTAGACTGACGTACATACAAGGTGTCTCGAGAGAAAACGGATCTTATCTATAGAAACTTGTTAAACTTAAACAGTAGAAGGCTTTCTGAGGTAAGGAGGTCGTACATGGTCGTATACACCGAGGAAACGCTTAAAAAAATAGGTAGATGGAGGTCGATTGGGGTAGATTTCAGTTCTGGGTAGCGTCAACCAGACCCAGGTGGCGCTAGTTGGTGTGACGGTCATTAACTTCTCAGCTCCTGAGATCGGAGCTATTACCAGTCTAAGTCTGAATAAACTACATTATTGTTGCACAAAAAAAAAAACAAAAAAAAAATAAAAAAACCGTGTCAACGCTGACTGAAATCTGCCTTAATCTTACATAATTGAAGATACGAGCGTTTGGTCTTGTTGGTATCTGGCAGTGCGCCACCTTGAAGAGAGACAGACAAGACCCTAGTGTTTGCGTATTTGTGAAGGTGGCGGAAAAAGGACAATCTAGAAATGAGGATTCCTCACACGATACCAAGGAACGTCTTCGAGGCCTACAGGTAACAATGACAGAACTCTGTTAACCTAACCAAGGCCTGCTGACCAAGTTCTGTCGATAAGATGCTCGTACGAAACCACGCGGTTGTCGAGCGAGTTGGAGAGGACGATTCGATCGGAGGATGTCTCCTGGGTAGAGGGAAGAGTCCCGCCCTTGAGAATCCTAGCTACCTACGTGATAGCGTCCTCGTGGAAGGATAACCCTGTACTGGAAGAGCTGCCGACGTGCGAGGACAGGAATCGGCTGATAGAAATTCTACCAACGGACCTGCCGTTCGAGTTGGCCATAACCAGAATCGACGACGAGCATTATTGGGAACGGTGCTCGAAGGCTAGGTATAATTATAAGATCCTTGTGTCTGCTTATGGGAATACTGGACATATCAGGAACCGTAGGATTCCGCCTATTGAGTTTCCATAAAGCAACTAGTGGTTGGTCCCTGAACGTTATCGTCAGACATGTTAATTACGATTACCGTAGGTGGGAAGTGAACGACCTATCGGAGCACGGTAATTCGTGGCGACAACGATACTGCGAGGGCCTCTTGTGGGAGTATCTGGAAGGTCTGGAGCCCACCTTCTTCGAGACGCAAAAAGAAGAGTGCGAGAAAATGTTGAAACTCGTGCAGAATTACGTGGACTCGTTGAGGATCGGTTCCCTCTTACCTACCAAGTAAGGAATGCCTCTTAGACGGGATTCGTTTATACAGAGTGTCTCAGAATTAATGTAAGAACCGAAAGTGGGGGAGTAGCTGGGACGTTTCTGAATCGTAGTTTCCTTTGCAAAAATGTCCGATATTGCGGTAGTGCAATAACTTTGTGTAACGAGTTACGCACTTTGAATGAATGAATGAATGAATGAACTTTTACTCGTTAGGTTAGATTTAATTTTAATGCAGCGCACTAGTCGGTGTGTAGCACCGGTTGCCGTTTAGTAGGCGCGCGAAGGCGCCCCTGATGGATAGCAACCAGAGCTACAGATTGAACGAGTGGTTGCCAGCTTTTAGGCGCAATATAAATAAAACTGGTATATTTAATTAGAGTAAATACATAATTACAACTACAGTCGGAATATGTTTCTAAATTCGATAGGAAAGTCGAAAAGTCCTTGGACAACGGCGACCCGTGCCTCGCGGAAGAAGACATCGTTCACCACGTCCCCATGGCTGTTATTCTCTCCCAGCTTCCTCTTCTCGTCGAGATTCGCATCGTGTTTGGGGTTGTTTACATGAACGACAACTTCGAGTGGCGCGATTTCGAGTGAGTCGCTTCTTAACCCTTTCGAATCTAGTGGAACATATATGTCTCAATCAATATTCCAGTGGCCAAAATTGCAATTGAAACTCGCAGGAATATATTTAAAAAAAAAAAAAAAAAGGGAATATCATTTGTGCTGGGTTAACTAGTTACACCAGAGTAATTTATTGATAAAGGTTATTTGATTGAGAAACAGATTGTGAGTAGATAAGAAATATATGTATTTATAGAATAATAGGTAGAAAAATTATACATTTTTCTTGATACTATTCTTGACACTGATTTATGTTCAAAAAGGTTCTCCATCGAAGACTGCATCGGTCTCGGCGAGGGGATCAAGGCATGCTCCAACCTGAAGAAGTTCACTCTATCTAGAAGCAATATGAATCAGCCGCGTGTCGCAGCGCTGCTTCAAGGAGCGGTAGAGAACGAAAACGTTGGTAACCATTCGATTCGTTGTCAAATTTTAATGAAATTTATTAACAATCACGTTTAAAGCTAGATAGAGGAGATGGATTTCTCGCACTGCAAGCTGTCGGACAAGGGCGCCCACGCAGTAGGCGAGTTTCTGTCCATGCACAAGGGCTTGAAGGTTTTACATTTGGCGAACAACGACATCGGCCCTGACGGAGTGGCTGGCGTGGTGTACGGATTGCTGAAGGCGGATGGGTCGGTGCTGAAGCACCTGGATTTGAGACTGAACCCTTTGCTAGACTCTGGGATGGTTCACGTGTGCGCCTGTGAGTATACAGCATCGGTTCGCTGACATTGGCCCCCCTCTGTACGCCAATATTTACTTTCTCTGTGTGTCGAAGGCTTTACTCTCTTGTAAAACAAACTATGGCCGGGTCAGGCTCGGCTGGTCAAGGCCACTTCTTCGAATGCGACGGGACTACGATCGTTTCGTGGACAGCACACGTGGTTCTCATAAATATTTCTGTCGTAGTCGCGCACTTTGGACGTTCAGGGTCACTGTAGCCATAGTTTGTACGCTCAAGGTTACTATGGGCATAGCTCGAGTTCTAGGAAAATACTCGTGTGAGTTTTATTTGTAACCTTAACAGCAACCAGGAAAGTATTAAAACTGTAGTTGTCGACCTCCCTGTATATCAACCGCGAAAGTTCGTTCCTGAGATTCGACATTTTAATCTGAAATTCCAACGAAGACGCCCGTATCTGTTTCAGATGTGCTGCGAACCAGCAGCTTAGAAATGCTTAACGTGAGTGGTTGCGGAATTAAAGCTGACGGAGCCGCTGCCCTCGCCGAAGTATTACAGTCTGGCTGCGTCAAGCTTAAAACATTAATCCTTGATGTATCCAATAACGATTTTGGCGAAGCAGGTCAGTCGAAAATTGGCCCGGAACTATCATTTAATATTTCGATATTTTATTTCTCAAGTATCTGAACTACATTCGAATTGCATTCGCGTTATATTCGAGCTGATATATATATATATATATATATATATATATATATATATATATATATATGTGTTTGTTTTTGTTATCGACTGGGCGGCTCACATCAAAAGTCCACCGCGCAACGAAGAAAGTGAAAGAGAAACGTAAGAGCGACGAAAGCGACAATTGGAATGCAATCGGAGCGGCCTAGTTCCTTTGCACCGGTCCCCTCTATTTTATCGGCACTCGGCAACTTGACGTTTTACCGACCGATAGCGATTGAAAATCCTATGCCTTCTCATCGGCCACTCGACCACGGATCTACCCTGAAGATCTACCACCGGGAATTGTATAAAAATATGGGAGCTAAGCGACTAGTATCTCTATTCAAAGTAACAAATACTTGCTAGTTACCATAGTTAGTTACCATACCGATTAAACAGTTACCGGTCGGTAAGCGTTGAAGACGAAAAGCTGATTAATCGGCTACCGGTCGGTAAAACGGTAACATGGTCGGTCGGTAATCCTACGAAACTCGCATTCGCGAAATTGAAGCTTGAAAAATGTTCACTGTCGTCTTCCGTGTAGACGCGAATGCACGCGATCGATGCTGTTGATACACGGACGTACAAAGCGGCGGGAAATGATAAACGATACGATTTCAGTGGGCGAGATATTCGAGGCCGCATTGAACTCCGCGTCGTTCATTGTTCACTTGGACGCTCGAATGTGCAATTTCTCCAGTCGATCTGAATTGTCTATTTACGAGAGCGTGGCTAGGTAAGGAAACCGTTCGTCTCTCGTTGGCAAAATGCTCTGACGCGTCTCGCTGTCTCCAGGCACAAGGAAGAACAAAGAAGGGAGAAAGCCAAAACAATGCTTGACCGACTGAGCAGCACCCATACGCTTCCCACGTACACCTACCGTTGAAAGGAAATCCTTACTTCCACTGTGACGTCTACGAGGCATTCAGACCACCCAACGATATTATTATTATTAACGCAAAATATTTATTCTTTTTGATTAATTATACCGTAAAATATCGATAAGGATTCTCTTAATAGCGCGCGAAATTTATTTGGCAAAATTTATGGGACCTGAGAAAATTTGGTTTCATTGTTATCTGTTGCATTTTTGTAGAACTCACCCGAAGTCGGAAATGACCTTTGTAACGGAAGAAGACTAATGAAAGGTCGGCCAACAAAAGAACAGCGGAACTAGGGTGCAGCTACTTGAAGAAACTTATGCGAAAGCCGTGAGCACGGTAAATTGCGGGGAAAGTAGGCCAGACGTAAGACTTTTCCATTATTAATACGAATGTAACGAAGAACAAAAAAAAAAAAAAAAAAAAAACTTGAGATTTCGCGCGATCCCAGGAACGTTCTTCTATATCGTTTCCGCGACTAGACAGATTTAATTTGGCTCGGTCCCAACGACGAATCGCAAAGAACTATAATAACTCTCGAAGACCGTTGGTCAACCTCGGCAAAAGGTGTAGCGTAAACGGTGCCGAATCGATGGATGACTTTCTCAGAAAAAAGGACCTAATTTTCCTCGTTCCTTCGCGTAAAAAGGTCGCGTTCAACGAGAACTATGTGCGAAGTGGCACTCGACTGAAGAATTTGTCGTTTCCAGAACCCACTAGCGCCCTCCTCGATCCGGCTCGTTTCATCGTTTTACGAAATAGTTTTACTCGCGCTTCTCCGTTCCGGTGTTCGTCGGTATAGCCGTTGTTCCGTTCGACGTGTTTGCATTGTGTTCCTCCACTTGTAATTCAACGCTAGCCTCTCGACGATCGCGAACAGAATTCGAACACTCGGAACGTGCTCTTTGATGTAACTAAAGTCCACTAATCACGTGCTATGTTTGCGAGCTTCAAACGCGCCAAGCACTCATTTATTTATCCGTTAATCGTCGGTAATACCGTCTGAGTTTCCTATACAATTTCCGTTCTATGGTCCCGCCATTTTCACCGTTCTATGGGAGGTTTATCGACTAGTTTTGATAAGTTTGTATAGCTGATCTGCCGCAGGTTTAATTAATTTCAAATCTTTGGCCACCTATCAGGAACCACCCAAGGCCCCAGGGACTTGGCAAACAGAATTTTAGACGATCACGATCAAGTCGCAGCGTGATGCACTGCAAGCCTGCAATTAAATTAATCCGAAGGCTAGATTTAATTTTAATGCAGCGCACTAGTTGGTGTGCGGTTACCGGTTGCCGCTTAAGGTCGACTCGGACTATACGACACGACAAAACAATAAAACACGCGTTTTAATGGAACTATTCACACTTAACAGACACCGATCTGAAGGTTCCGTTAGCGGGAATAGCGTGAATAGTTCCATTAAAACGCGTGTTTTAATATTTTGTCGTGTCGGTGCCGGTACGTGTCGTATTGTCTGAATCGTCCTTTAGTAGGCGCGCGAAGGTGCCCCTGACGGCTGGCAACCAGGACTACAGAATGCGCGGCGGGTTGCCAGATATTAGGCGCAGGAAAGATGCCCCTCATGGATGGCAACCAGATTTGCACTTAAATCTACCGAGAATAAAAATTTCAATTTAAGGTACTTTCAAGCTTTATATTAACACGTTCACTGCCAGACTAATACTCTTGAAAATTTCTACTGCGGTTTAATTTTGTTTAACGACTTTTGGAAGCTGCGTAATGTAACATTTATTTTGGTGTTTAGCTCTGTAACTTCATCAAAATTCAAGTATTTCGTTTAAATTCATTTTCTATGACACTTAACTTTCAGAACTAATAGTTTTCGTTGTTCAGTGAAAAGCACTGTCACCCATATATGGGTGACGTGGCGATCAACGTGTTAGTGCACCCTTACGGTACATGTGAGCTGCAAATTACAAGCTCCCGACAAAAAGTTTTGCATTCGAACTTTTACTCGTTAGGTTAGATTTAATTTTAATGCAGCGCGCTAGTCGGTGTGTAGTACCGGTTGCCGCTTAGTAGGCGCGCGAAGGTGCCCCTGACGGGTGGCAACCAGGAGTACAGACCGCGCGACGGGTTGCCAGCTATTAGGCGCAGGAAAGATGCCCCAGGGAAAATTTCAATTTAAGGCAGTCTATTAGTATATCCTTACAGGAAGAGTCCTCATTATTCAAAAAGAAACTAAGCGAGAAAGGCCCTTAAATACGACAGTAATTCGCGTTACAGTGTATTCAAGCTATCAAAGAAGATTAAAAATCGATGGACTTTGTCAATCGGTCGACGCGTGGCTGAAACGTACGAGTTTATACACGGCGAACTTTCAATAGCGGCGCCTAATGCGCCCAGGAACTCTCATCTCGTGCACTTTTGTACCATTTTCTTTCTTTTTTCTTTTTTCTTTTTGTAAACGTACGAACGCGCACACACGTTCAGATATCGATCCAGCTTTTATGCACTTGCCAGCCTAAATCTGTGTCGCGCCGATTACTGTTTTGTAAACCGTCGCCGCAAACAGTGGTGTCAAGTCCTCGCGGACGAGCGGCTCCGGTTTCCGCCATTGATTTTTTGGAAATAGCCGACTAGGGAAACAAACTCACTGATTCGGAGTTGGACAACCGTCCGGGTGGATTTACATGTGGGAAGAACCGATGGCGTTTGTTTTTTTGTATTGAAAGACGCGGGCTGGGTGATGCGATAACTGTTCGTTGGAGTAATGATTGGTAGACTGCGAATTATTATATACATTTATGACGTGAATATATATATGTATGTATAGTATAGTATATAGTATAGTATAGTATATGTATAGTCTCATGTGTGTATATATATTCACGTCATAAATGCATATAATAATTCGCAGTACATATATATACAGCGTGCCGCGTATATATACATATATATATACTGTAGTATATATATATATATATATATATATATATATATATATATACTGTATTATTATATATATTATATATATATTATGTATATATATAATAGTAAGTATATATAATATTATATATATATATGTATACTGTATTATTATATGTATTATATATATATACTAGGAGAGTATAAAAAGAAACAAGACCGTGATATTATTATCATGATATATTCAAAATATATGAAGTATATATTATCTATGTATATACAATATAAATATATAAAATGTAGAAAATATACTTCATGTATGCTGAATATATTCTACAATTATTATAATAATATATATAATATATATAAAATGTATATATATATATATATATATATATATGTATATGTATATGTATTACAACGAAATAATTATTATAATAATTGTAGAATATATTCAACATACATTTTATATATTTTCTACATTTTATATATTTATATTGTATACATAGATAATATATACTTCATATATGTTGAATATATCACGATAATAATATCACGGTCTTGTTTCTTTTTATACTCTCCTAGTCTATCTATAATACCTGTATAGATATCGAACGATAACGTACAGTCGCGATGTCCGACTGGTAGATAGTAGAGAGAGAGAGTAGAGACGCAACAAGCCCGAACAGGGCGTACCGAAGAACTAATTTTGCTTCACCCACCATTCGTCGATCCAGCTATATATAGTCTAAGCGAATCGAAAGGTTACATTTCGTACTTTGGACACGAGCTAACCCGTTGGGCCGTGAAACCTAAAGCCACTATAAGGTAAAAGCCCGTGTCGCGATGAAAACGTTCGCACGCGCGGCCGGCAACGACGAAAAGGAGCACGGACTCTTTAAGAGCTTCTTAGGCGTTTTAATTGCGCTATTTCGTAGTACGCTCGCCACTCGGGCTGAGCCTGGCAATTCTGTCAAGAGAGTGCGTTTAGACGAGGGAAACGTTCATGTAAAGCGGCCCGACAGATGGGTCACGTTTAACGACAATGAGCAAAGAAAAAGTTCCTGATGTCTATGTCTTCCGAGACGTCACGTCTGATGTTACAGTCCCTCCATCGCTTTATCCACTTCTGTCAAATCTCATTCGTATATTACAGGATTGCGGATACTATACAGGGAAACAAGTTCTATCTCGATGTACGAAGCGAAGACCTCTCCATATCGCCTCGTAATTATTCCGAAGAATTATAGACGCACATAAATTATCTTAACCCTTTATTTACTGGCGAATCCTATGGGGACTTTCAAGTCCACTTCTATGAAGTTCGTTTTTAATTGTTGGATGGCAGCACAAGCGTGTTTTTTTTTGGAAGCTTGTTAGAGACAACTCTGTAAGATGATATATAACCAAGATGGACGCCTAGATTTTAAAAACCTTAAAAAAATTTAGTAAATAAACATTGGTGCCTGATGTCTGACCATTACGGTTAAACCAATGCAGCTATCCACCTTGTATTCACGCCGTATGTTCAAGTGGTGCTCCGGATTTGTTTTCGTTTGCGTTAGACCCTCCTAGGTGGCGTTGCGGTAGCTTTTCTTCTAAAATTCTTATTCATGAACCGATTTGCCTCGAATTCACACCATATAATGTTGAAATAAAAAAAAGTCAAAGATTCGGACTCGATAGGTGGCGTTGGGGTAGCTTTTCTTCTAAAATTCTTATTCATGAACCGATTTGGCTCGAATTCACACCATATAATGTTGAAATAAAGAAAAAGTCAAAGATTCGGACCCGATAGGTGGCGTTGCGGTAGCTTTTCTTCTAAAATTCTTATTCATGGAACGATGTGGCTCGA